AAATTTTGTTCAATTCTAACATGTTAGTTTTTGTTTTACTTATTATGTTATTATTTGTTTGTTTGATTGTTTGTTTAATTATTTTGGGCTTTTCAAGACAAGGTTTCTCTGTGTATGCCTGACAGTCTTGGAACTCACTATGTAAACCAGGCTGGCCTCGAACTCACAGAGATAAATTGGCCTGCCTCTGCCTCTCAGGTGCTGGGATTAAAGGTGTGGGCCACAACAGCTCAGCTATAGTTTGTTTCATTATTACACTTTAGAAGCCTGTACGTTTTCACACACACACACACACACACACACACACACACACACACACACACACACATCTTTATGGATTCTTTGGGAATTTTACATCATGCACTCCAATTCTGCTCATTTCCCAGTCCCTCCATATCCTCCCTCCACCCTTGCAGTGTCCCTCTCCAAAAAGAAAATAAAAGAAATACCAAAATAAACCAACCAAACAACCAAACAAAAGACCCACATCTCTCCTCTGTATTTCCTACCTCTTCAACATCTCTTCATTTGTTTTAGTGGCGTTGGGGTCCATAGTGTGTCATGCAGTGTACCCTTTTGTTCAATCAGCCCCACCCAAAAATAAAAATTACAATGAGTCATTGGTCTGGTTTAAGGCCTCTGGTTTCTGGTCCACCATCATCACTGGATCCTCACTGAAACTCCACTCTGACATCCCACGGCTGCCCCTAGACATGGAGACCTGCAGAACCAGTCCCTTCACATGCTCCAGCAGGTCCTAGATGGGGTAGATGTTAGGGTAGGCCAATCCAAGGCCCAGGATATGGACCTGGGTGGTAGTTGAGCTTGCCAATCCTTGATACTAGGGCTGCCCCCTCAGGTGAGGGATGGAACCAGCCCTCTTATGCTCATGGCATCAGGACCATCTCTCTCATGCCTGTGTTGAGGAGTAGGGCCAACTCTCATAAGTACAGGGGGCCAGCTCTCCATGCCTAAGCCATTGGGACCAGCTCTCCTGTGAGGGTCAGGGTCAGCACTCTTGCTGCAGTGTCTAGTGAGGAGCAGGGTCAGCTTTCCTAGGGCCAACAGAGGGAAGTGCTGAGCCAGGCTTTCATTGTGCATGGCCCCCTATGGTAATAGGGACCACAGATGTCAACACAGATCACAGTTGCAGCAGGACCACAGATCAAGATATGGCCTTCCAAGGCATCTCAGGCCCAGATGTCACCATGTCCCCTGTGGCAGCTCAGGTCACTCAGATCTGTCCTGCCCCAGCAGCAAACAGCATGGCTCTCAGACACCCACATGGTCTGAAGTGACTAACCAGACCCTGGGCATCTACATGGCCCATGGTGACAACAGATGCCATGGACATCAACTCAGACGCTGGCTGCTGTGGGGCCATAGACAAAAGATGACCCTAGACCGCAGCATGGGCTCTGAGGTACCATGGCCCCAGGTGATAACACAGGCCAACCAGAGCAGCTTGGCCATGGGACACCAACATGTTCTCAGGTGGCAGACCAGACCTCAGGCATCTTCATGCCCCTTTGTGGTAACAGGAGCCTTAGACTCTCTGACTACTGTAGGGACATGGACCCAGACATGACCCTCAGAAGCTACTTAGGCCCGAATGACACCTAGGACCTGGGTAGTAGCATAGGCTAATAGATCAGCATGGCTCTGGAGGATTGGACAACAAGTCCACAGGTTGTGTCACAGACCCTGGGCATCCATGTGGTTTTGGTGGCAACACAGGACATAGAATTTAACACAGACCCCAGCTGTAGTAGGACATGGACCCAGGCACAGTCCTCTGCAGCAACATAGCCTGGATGTCCCAAGACCCCAAGTGGCAACACAGGACACTTATATTGGCATGGCCCCAGAGGTAGCATTGTCCAGGGACACCAACACAGTCCCAGGTGACAGGCCAGACCCCAGATATATGCATTGCTTTTAATGGTAGCAGGAGCCATGGACATCAACATATAGACACCAACTGCATTAAGGCCATGGACAAAGACATGGTTCTCAGTTGCAGCTCAGTCCCTGATGTCACCACGGCACAGGGTGGCAGCATAGGCCATTCATATCAGTATATCCCCTGAGGTGGAATGGTCCTTCAACACCTACCTGTCCACAGGTGGCAGCCCAGACACTGGGCATCCTGTGGCCATTGTGGCAACATGGCCCATGGATGTCAACACAGACCCTGCCTACAGTAGGACCACGGAAACAAACATGGCCCTTTGCAGCAGCCTGGGCCCAGGTGTCATCACTTCTCTGGGTGACAATCAGGCCACCCACCCAAGCCGGCTCCTCACCACCTTTCCTTCTTCCATTCCGACTTTTCTACAACACATGAGCCATTCTGCCTCTCTTTTTCTCCCATTTCTCCACCATACATTTGCTCATCATAATGGCACCCTCCTGCCTGTCAATGTCTTTCGTCAGCCCAGGCTTTCCTTGAGGACCCAGGATGGCCTTTGGGTGGCTTCCACCCACCTGAGCTGTTTTCTAGTGACAAACAGAAAGGTAGATATGTCCAGATGGACGGGTAAGTGTCGAGGAACTGGGAGGAGTAGGGGCAAGGGAAACCATAATCGGGATATATTATGTGACAAAAATGTCTATTTTCATTGAAAGAAAAAAGAAAGAATTGTTGTGACCCCTCCCCAAATAAAAAGTAATCATCACCATCAATACTTTCTGTGCCCACCTTCTCCATAGATTCTTAATTTGCAGGGTTACTACTGAATCTCTTGCTCAAAGGATAAAGTAAGCCTGAGTCAAGAAGGCTTAACAGATCCATTGTTTCACAACTAACATGTGTAGGGAATAGTCAGCTGTGCAAGCAATACTCATAACTTAGAAATGTCACTCCCCCAAAAAACAGAACTTGACATTTTGTTTAAGTGGCATTTCCCGGAGTGTACATATATATCCTACAAAACCTCAGAAAGCATGTGAAATTAATAACTTGGAAATTCATGATTTTATTGTTAACATAGTGCTGAATTTTAGTGAAGCTGTACATTGAGTACATGTGTCACCAAATTTCCCTGAACACCGATTACACTCTAGGGATAGTCCTCCCTTTCCCTAAGGAGAATGACCCTTTCAATACGAGGAGATATGCTCTGTAATGCTACAGACCTCTCTCTCTCTTCCTCTCTTCTGCTCTCCGATGGATGAACCATGTCTGAAATCAAAGGAAGACAGGGTTGGATTTAGCATTGGCTTCCACTCCAGAGCTAAGAGATAAAAACCACTTTAAGACACATAACGCTTACTTTCTATTCAGCTCATAAAAGCAAATATCAGCTGTGTGTCAACTTCTGCGATAGGCCATGATTCTGTCTTTTTCCAGCAGTATAAACACTTCAGTGGTTTCTTTTTTATTGGATGGAACGCTTAGCTTATGACTTGTTCCAAGTCCTTGATGTTACTTCAATATATGGTAACTGGGTAAAGGAAAGTCTTCATTCTGACATTTGACCTTCAGCTGCAGAATACCCTCCTCACTAGTGATACATTCCTCTTGTATGGGCAGAGATTTTAGGTCACCAAATGTCAGCACATTTTAAAGGCCTATGGAGGGGAACAGCTTTCTGTTTGTAAAAGCAGTCTTCAGTATGAAGTAATTAATCAACAGAAACAAGCATGGCAGATTTTCAGAAACAAAATTGCATTCAAGAGTGCCAATGGGATTGTGGTGCTTGAAATTTCTGGAGGGCAGAGAAGGCCTGGACAATGGTTTGACATCACCAGCCTCCAGGGTTTGTGAAAGTTGACTACCTTAACCTAAATGTCATACAGGACACTGAAACCTTTGCCATCTCCAGGAGTTCAGCAGAAAGGGTAACTTCCACCCACGGTAAATCTGAACAGTATATTCTTTCATGATATACAAAGTTCTTCA